TATTTGTTAATTAAAATAAACTTCAGTTCAGACATTCATTTACAATAGCATGTTAATGGGTTCATGTTTAGAGAAAACAGCAGAGTAACAGTATATTTTTTAACCTAATATTAAGTGAGCATTCACAATGAGCGTGGTGTTGCTCTAAGACAAAACTCATTTAGTTCAAATAACTCTACTTAGCCAGTTCCACAACTGGCTCTGTTTAACTGACAAGAAAACTGAAGTGCTGAGAAATTAACTGACTTGGCCTAAGAGTCTACAGTCAAAAGGCAAGAGAACCAGAATCTGAATGCCTGTAATAAAGCCCCAAGGCCCACACTTCATTCTCCAAAGCATCCTTCCGTGTATATGCTGTAAAAATAGGCTGGTCTTAGAGCTGAGTCATTGGTTTCTAAACCACTTGGAACCAGTGGTGCTTACTTAAGCATTTGAGGTCAGCAGAGGATAGCTCTCTCTTCCTCAAATAAATGCAGTAACTATTAGTCTGACAGGAAGTAAAGAGAGAAAAAAGAATATTTAAAAACCAACATTCATGTACTTGAGATGAAACAGTTATAAACACTAATAAATGCCATAAATATTATAGTAGATACTGGGTTATGAAGATTTTAAGAAACTAGATAACCTTGTATCTGAGTAAGGCTGCCTCTTTTATTCCTGTCTTATGCAATGATACTAAAGAAATTAAATGTTTAAAAAAAAAACCCTGAACTTCAAAACTGATAAAGCCAGGCAAATACCATAATAGGCTCCTAATAACTCAGTTAAGAACTAGGCCTCAGTTCCTGCTTCTTGAAACTGAGCAGGGCATTTCTGAGGAAGCCATGAACAAAGGACAACCAATCTTTAATGTCCCTGACAGCGGGTCAAGGTATACTAGGCCTGACCCAACCTTCCCCGCCCCAGCCTCACAGTAGCTCAAGGTAATAACCAAATAAGGACAGAGCCTGGAACTCATCTAGACTTTCCCCAAAATGGAAAAGTCATAGCCTTAGCCAGGCCTTGCTAGCCCTAGCCAATTAGAAATGTGCTAACATAATTGCCATTCACTTAAGTCAATCATAGATAAAATGATCTAACTGCCTTAGGAACTCCCCTTAGCTGTGCTTTAAAAGAGCCTGCAAGCTTCTTTCATGGTACCATTTTGCCTTTGTGTAGGATATGTGACCCCAACATGCTGGTATCTTTCTTCTCAAGATAATCAATGTTCTTGTTGATTGCATACATGAATGGTGGTCTTTTGTGAGACTTCTCCAGGACCCAAACAAAAATCATTGGCTCAATGGGAAGCATGATGTTTGAGGAAAATGAAGAAGACAGTTCTTGAGCAATTTTAAGTGCAATATACTAGACCTGCAGCTTGTATTAAAATCTATAACATATGCTACTAGAGTTTGGTTAAAGAAGGTACAAGTTCTAAGGAATGATTTGATCCATTTAAATGAGAAACACTAGGTGTCTAAGGTGAGAAAATTGCTAAAAGTAATTTATCACATTGTTCTGCTCTATCTCTAGTAAAAGATTCATTCTGAGCAACAGTTCATAATTAACTTCCCATTCAAACAGAATTAAATTTATTATACATTATAGCACATTTTGGTAGCAAGACACTGATGTGCATTTTACACCATCACCAGCTAACAGAAGTTGTAGTAAAAAGAAACGAAATGGATTCCAGTGAGTCTAGACTAAGTGGGTACTTCATGTTTTATGTGATGATTATTAATTTTTAAAATTGTTCTTGACATTGAAAACTCAAGTTAAAAATATAAATTGCAAAAACTTAAAGGTTAAAGCGAATCTTCATAATTAAGAATAACATGGAAAATAAATTTGGAAGGTTAACATTTAAAGATAATTGAAACAGAAAGTGGTCTATATATAAATATTCAGATTGGTTTGGCTATAAGAATTTAATTTTATTGCCTGTTGGCACCTACAGGATTTAGCTACAGAACAGGGAAAGTGAACATTTCAGCAATTCTATTCTGAACCAGGACTCCTCGGAGTCCCAGGCAGACAGCTGAGTAAAGTGGAAGGGTCTCAGGGCACTCGCATGCCTATCAGCTAAGAGGACTGAAATTCACAGCATGTAGTAGTCTCAGACTAGGAAACCTTAGGTGTCTCCAGAGGCCAACAGTCAGGAATTTTGTATGAGATCTTCAAATTTTTTAATGTTAGCTGATGTGCTTTTAGAATGCTCTGTTGAGGCTTACCATCAAGACAGATACAAATGATAATGGATAGAAAAAAAAAATGAATAATCTGCTCCCCGCCCCAAAGCAGAAAACTAAGGCAAGTATCACACTGACCAAGGGCAACAGGGCTTCAGGGATGGCGTCCTGAATGAATGGGGTATGCTCAGCATCTCAAACTGCTTGGAATAAAAACTGTTCTTAAAACACTACTCAACTTTAGTTCAATAGACACTCATTGGGAAGAGAGTGTATCAACCTTCTGCTTCATCACTGTTGAATTTGGAGGAAAATGAGGGAAGTGAAAGCAAGTTCTCAGCATTTTTTGAACACTCCTAGACATTTGTTAAATCACCAAGAACATTATAAAGCTTATATAATTTGGCTACAAAACCCTTATTATTTTATCAGGAGGTACATTAGACTTGTTAATTTGTACAGAAAGTATATGAGTACTTACTGTGTACCATGTATTGACAAAAACTAGGGCTAAAAGCTTAACAGGACATGTGAACAGTCTGATGGAGAAGACAGGCAAGTAAACAGGTGAGTGAAAGGAAGAATGAAAGAAACAGTTATGAGGGTTGGGAAATGCAAGGACAATGATGAGCAATTTCCACAGAGGACCAATCCATGGGCTTTATAGGAAGTAGCATTTGAAGTGCAAACAGCAGCTATGATCTTTACCCAGGGCTTACTGTACTACCAGGCACTCTTCTAAAAGCTTTATTATTAAAATATGTAAATCCCAACAACTTTGTGGTATATATACTTTATATGCTTCATATTATCTGTATTTTACATAAAATGAACACAAGAATTTTCAGACTAGCAATATTATTATTATTAGTTTTATTAATTTTTGAGAATTTCATACATGAGCACTATATCTACATCATTAACCCCTCCATTTCCCAACTACTGTATCCCCCTCCCAAATTACTTAATTCTCATCTATTCTATAAATATTATATTTATGGAAATATACTTTATTAATATATATTAATATATAATATTAATATATATAAAAGCACACATACATATACACACAGACACATATATATACACACAAGTCCTATTGAGTCCATTGGCTTTGCTCATATGTACACATGTCCAGGAATGACCTATCTTTATACTGTACAAAGTATTTGCACTATGTATATGTTTAAATTATATATAAACACACACACATTTAAAAACACAGCAAGTGTCTCAAACCTAGTTCTTGTGTTTACTCTTGCAGAGGAAAGGGCACCACATATCTGCATGTACCCTGTGTACATGTGTCTCAGTTCATTTAGATACATGAACCTCAGGTTGCTTCACATCTATTCTTCTATTGCTACCACCCAGTCCTCATGAACTCTAGCTCAAATTATGGCAAGTGGTCACATTATTTTCACTTTCTACCCATTCAAATCATTGTAGACCTCACTATCAAAACAATTTCCTCCAACCACATAACTGTTTTCCTTTTCTTTTTTTAAATGTGTGTTTTGTGTTGGTAGGGATGAAACTCAGAATCTGATGCATACAAGGCAAGCTCTGTATCACATACCTACAGCGCAGCTTCACAGATTTAATAAGTTCCTCTTCTCCATCACAGTGCATGTGTGTGGAGGCCTGAAGTTGACATTATTATCTTTCTTGATTGCTCTTTATTTATCAAGACAGGGTCACTTGCTGAAACCAGAGCTCAGCAATTCTGATGAGTCAGCTGGACCCAGGGACCCTCCACCCTCTGTTTCTGCCTCCTGAATGTTGGGATTCCAACTGGCTGCTACACTTACTTAGCTTTAATCTGGGTTCTGGGGATTTAAACTCCAATTCTCATGCTTAAGTAGTGAGAACACTTATCCACTGAGCCATCTCCCCAGCCCTATTCACATTTTATTTTGGAAGATCATACCAACTTTTCTGTTTATACAACTTGTATGAAGCTTTCTTTTAAAATAAATTGGAGATAAAAAAAAAAAAGTGGGTCAGCCGGGCAGTGGTGGCACATGCCTTTAATCTTAGCACTTGGAAGGCTGAGGCAGGTGAATCTCTGAGTTCAAGCCCAGCCTGGTCTACAAAGTGAGTTCCTGGACAGGCTCCAAAGCTACACAGAGAAAACCTGTCCAAAACAAAAAACAAAAAAAAAAAAAAAAAACAAAAAACCAAACCAAACCAAACCAAAAAAGTGGGTCAATTTAACGTAAAGAATTAAGCATATTCTAGAACAGGTGGTACACAAACATGGTACTGTGAGCAGTACCATTAAAATAAAACTCAGATTGACCAGCACCTGAGAAAGTCTAGTCAACCACACAGACCCTTCTGAAGTCACCAGGAGGTTAAGTCTTCCACTGTGCCAGGCTTCTTCAGCTGTTTTAAATCTGGTGATAGTGATGACTAGCCTGTGCTTCTGAGAGATGTACCACTTCCAGCCTCCAAGCTTCTGCCCATATCCCTTTGTCTGGGGTGCTAGGTCTCCTGTGTCTCCCTGTTTATATGCTTTCCAAGTCCACCCACTGCTGTCCCCCGAATGAAGCCTGTAGCTGGCCAACAATAATTTCCCTTTGACAGAGTTTGTGGCCTCTCCTTCCAGTGTGCTTCCTTCACAACTTTGGTGACACTGAATTCAAATAGTATGCTTTACCTGGTAGATGTCAAGGGGCAGGGAGGCAAGGTGTGTGTTTTATTCACTTTTAATAGCATCATGGTACCTAACAAAAGGCTTTATACACAGAAAAGGCCCAAAATGAATACCTTGGGAATTAAATTTAATCCTGTTTTAGGCAACATTCATGTGATACTTACAATTTTACGCTTGATCATGAAGAGTGGGATTTTTGCATGAAGAGGGGTTGAGGACAGTTCCTTATGGACTGTTGATAAATACAATCTTCTTTTGATGTTTCCTAAATCAGTAATTCTGAAAAAAAAAGACAAGAAAGAAGAAAGATTCCCATGAATTTAAAATACATTTCTTTGGATAATCATCAAAATGATATAATTCATCAAATAAGCCTTTTCCAACACGGAGTTCGAACACAGAAGTGAAGAGTTGTCATTTTCTTTCAAGAAGTAATAAAATTTCTTTCTTAAATTCAAATTGCTCACAGGCCTGAATGTATAAATTCACTTAATATGCTAATTTATTTCATCACTCTACACCAGATTTCCACAGTCCTCCAGCCTATGAAAAAATTCAATTTGTATGAACTGAGAAACCGTTAGCCTTAATAACCATGCCTGTTCCAGCCCTGTAAGCTGGTGTTACCTTGGGACACACTGTCAGCTACTAAATAGGAAAACATTATGGGTTTCTCTCCCTAAGAGTGCACCTGTCATCTTACATAGGCTCTTAGTCTTTGTAGAGACAGACATGAAGCACTAACTGTCGGTTTCACTTCCTAAGCACATATCTTCCAACTTGAATTTTAATACACAAGTTTATTGCTTACTATTCAGGTCACCCCACAATGATACCAAGGACACCAAATTTGAACATCTTTAATAGATTTAGACCATGGCCATGATCACAAAGATTAGGTTTGCTTCAAACTGAGAGAGGCTCATTTTTATATTCTGCTTCCTTTATGTCTCAAAGGTAACACACCAGGCTGAAAATCCACACACAGTCTCAGCTGCTGTGCCGCCAAGTTGATGCTTTTTTAAAACCTTAGTTTTTATCTTAAAATAAATGGCTTCCCCCACATTAGCAACTTCTCTATGGATGTATTACAAGCCCACTCTTCAATAAGTGTCAATTCCTCAAGGAGGCATTTCATTAAAAAAACTATTATTAATATTTATAGTGTAATTATTTTAAAAAAATCAACATAGTGTTTTTTGTCAGGCATGATGGGGTACACCTTTAATACCAGCACTTGGGAGGCAGAAGCAGATGGATTTAAGTGACTTTGATGCGAACCTTATCTACATAGACAGTCCAACCCAGGCAGTGCTAGATGAGACCCTGTCTCAAACGAAGCAAAACAACAAACACAAACAAAAATCCCAACATAGTCAATTCTAAAGTTCTTCTATGCTTCCCATTCCCTGCTTTTCTAATCTCATTATTACCTATAAAATACCTATAATCTCATTATTACTTGTAAAATAGTTTCTATAGCCTGTGGGAAAATAGCTAGCACTAAAAATAATACGAGATGATTTCAGAGTACACTTCAGACCAAAAAAAAAAAAAAAAAAAATCCATTCCTCTTGCACTAAATGATAGCATCATTTAACTTAAAAATGAAAAAGTTGTCAATTCATCATCAATTAAAATTAAAGTTAAAATTCAACTGCAATAACACTTGTGTGGTCTTTCACATCAATGTTAAATGTGGTCTTTCCTTCACTTCAGCTGCACATACAACTGACCTGAAGTGCCAAAATAAATATATTAAAAATTCCATCTCATCCTTTTAAATGTTGTTTTTGTGAATGTTACATATCGTAGTAGTATAGCAACAGGTGTTTTAAAAACAAAAGCACCACTTGGTGGGTAGGCATAAATACCTTTCTGATGGTGTAGAAGAGTTTGAAGATCAGTGTAAACTAGAGAATCGCCGAGAACACTGAGGCATGTGGGTGTGAGTGAGAACATTTCTAAAGAGGCTCAACCGAGAGGGAAGGACTTGCTCTGAATGTGGGCTGGAGCCAGGCTGAGGAAAACAGACCAAGGGGGAGTCCAACAGAAATTCAGCAGTCTACACTTCCTGGCCCACCATGAAGTGAAGTGGGCTGCTCTGCCACACCTAACCTGCCACAGTAGAAGGACCTTTTGAAATCACAAATTAAATATCGCCCCCACCCCAAAGCTGTCTTTGTGAGCTATTCTGTCAGGAATCGGAAGAGAGCAGATACTACAATGTTTCTTCTAGGGAGGATGCAAACAGGAGGCCCCAACCCTCTGGATTATGTAGAAAATGGAGAAAGGCTGACATTGGACCAATGAAATGCAGATCAACAAGGGATAAGCAGGGCAATACGTTACTATTGGGAAATGCATTAAGGGGCCTCTTGCAGGCCCCCATGTCAAACTTAGTTTAGTCATTCCCTGTCACTATGGGGGAAACTTATCCCCAGAGCAATTAAAGGACCTAATGCCTATGGAAAAAAACAATACTGCTCTGGATGATACAATAGCTTTAGAAATGAAACAAAAGTTCCAGGAGAAACCATAAAATGAATATTTTGGCAGACTTCAATGAATGATCAAAGACCAAGGCTACGAGTGTGAATAAATGATATTGTAATTGAAGGTCTTCTGGACATAGGGGCAGGTATAACTATAATTCCACCAGAATCATGGCATCCAAATTGGCCTCTTTAGGAGTAATATGTTCAGTTTTTAGGGATTAGAACCTTATTGTAGGTAAAACAAAGCACAAGATGGGTTAAATGTATAGGGCTTGAAGAACAAAGAGGAAAGTTGAAGCCATATGTGGCTAATATAGCAATGAATTTATGGGGATGTGATTTGTTACAGTAGTGGAATATTCAGATTAACATTCCTCCAATCTCAGAAACAAATCATAGACTAACGTATATTTCTGGAAAAAGTACTAAAAGGTATTATAACGAACAGTCACTGACAATTCAGGCTATACAAAAACAGGTAAACAACAGCTGCTGATCTTTCAGAAGTACTAACAGCCCTACCTTTAAAATGGTTAACTTACATACCTGTCTAGGTAGAACAATGGCCTTTGACATCAGAAAAATTACAGGCCTGAGAACAGCTGGTACAGGAGCAGCTAAATGCTCACCACATTGAAGAATCAACCAGTTCTTGGAATTGTTCTGTATTTGTTACTAAAAAGAAATCTGGAAAATAGAGAATGCTGACAGATTTGAGAGTCATAAATAAAGTAATTTAGCTGATGGATTTTCTACAGCCTAGAATTCCTTTGCCCTTTCTGTTACCTAAAGGATGGCCTATTATGGTTATTGACTTAAAAGACTGTTTCTTCACTATACTACTACAAGAAAGGGATAGGGAAAAATCTTCCTTCACGGTGCCTACTTATAATAATCTCAGCCTGTTAAAACATATCAATGGAAGGTTCTCCCACAAGGGATACTAAACAGCCCCACCCTGTGCCAATATTTTCTGTGACAGCCATTGGAAATAATTTGTGTACAGTTTCCTCAATCTATAATTTACCATTCATTTACTATATGAATGATATCTTGTTAGATGATTCAAATGTAGACACTTTAGAAAAAAAATATTTAAAGATGTAAAGAAAGTTTTGCCTTGCTGGGGATTACAAATTGCTTCTGAAAAAATACAAAGAGGAGATTCTATTAATTATTTAGGATATAAAATACATCTACAAAATACTCAACCCCAAAAGATACAAATTAAGAGAGATCAACTGTGGACTCTTAATGACTTTCAAAGATTGTTGGGAGATCTTACTCATCTACAGCACACTATTGGAGCAACAACTTAAGAACTAAGTAATTTGTTTCAAACCTTAAAAGGTGACAAGGACTTAAATAGTCTGAGATAATTAGCAGCAAGAATTAGCAAACAATTCTGAGAGAGAATTGGTTTTGGTGGAAAAGAAATTATAGGATGCACATATAGATCATTTGGATCCAGAGCTTGATTGCCTTCTGGTTATATAACCCTCTATGCATTCCCCTACAGAGATTTTAATGCAGAGGGAAGATATTATCTTAGAATGGATATTTCTCCTACACAAACAGACTAAAAAATTAAGGACATATGTGGAAAAAGTTTCTGAGTTGATTCTAAAAGAAAATTAAGACTTCATCAGTTGACAAGAATGGACCCAACAGAAATTGTAGAACCCTTTACTAATGCTGAAATTTCCTCTTTGTGGGCAAAAAAATGAATACTGACAGAGAGCTTGAAGTAATTTTTTGGGAGAGATTAACAACAAATATCCCCAAAGCAAGAGATTTCAATTCATAAAAGGAGCCAATTGAGTCCTTCCTCACATTGTATGTGGAACACCAATAACCAGAGCTCCCACATTCTATACTCACACATATAAATCAGGAAAGGCAGGTTACAAATCAGGAAATTTAAGTAAAGTGGCTCAAACCCCTTAAGATTCTGTCCAGAATTATATGCTATTCTCATGGTATTGATGTATTTTACAGAATCTTTTAACACAGTTACTGACTCTCAATATGCAGAAAGAGTTGTTTTACACATTGAAACCTCTGAACATATTCCTGTTGAATCTGAATTAGCTTTGCTATTTATATAGTTACAGGAAACAGTCAGGAATAGGAATCATCCCATATATATAACACATATTAGATCCCATATGATTCTGCCAGGTCCTCTATGATGAAATTGATGTTACTATTAGGAAATGTGCTGGAGGCCTCAGAGTTTCATAAAAGACACCGTGTTAATATCAAGAGTTTGAAAAAGGATTTTTCCATCACTTGGCAAGAAGCCAAGGAAATTATAAGAAAACGTCCTACTTGTTCCTTGTATAATCAAACTCTACTACCTGCAGGAATAACCCTAAGAGGACTCAAAGAAATGAAGTCTGTCAGGTGAATGTGTTTCATTTTACAGTATTTGGAAAATTAAAATATGTACAGCATACCATAGATATATATTCAGGATTTCAATGGGCAGTTGCTTTGAGTTTGGAAAAGGTTAGTTCTGTAATTACACATCTATTAGAAGTCATGGCCATCATGGGAATACCTCTACAAATTAGGACTGACAATGCTCCAGCATATGTCTCTAGTAAAATGAAACAGTTTTTTTTTTCTTATCACAATATAAAGCATATTACAGGTATACCACACAATCCAACAGGCCAAGCAGTTACAGAAAGATCAAATTGGACTTTAAAAGAAACGCTAAACAAGCAGAAAGGGGTAATAAAGACCACAAGAGACAAACTGCATAGTGCCTTATTAACTTTAAATTCTAAATGCTAATGAGAAAGGAACAACAGCTGCAAAGAGACGCTGGACAAAAGAAAAAAACTACTGAGTTAAATCAGCCTATATACTTTAAAGATTTGTTGACCTCAGAATGGAAACCAGGATATGTGTTGCGTTAGGGGAGGGGTTTTGCTTTTGTTTCCACAGGCGAAGAAATGGAAGAAATGTTATAGATACCATCAAAAAAAATTCAATTCAAACAGGAGAAACCTCTTAACGAGAAGTGATAGCTCATTCACCAATGTGACAATTCTACAAGTTGTAAGGAAAACTCATCTAAGAAGGCTTGGGGCAGGGTTCTGTTTTGTTCTTTACAGGAGGAAAAAAGTATTCACCATAAAGGATGTCAAGGACCTTTGGACAGAAAGACATCTAAAGAAGAAGAAAGACATCTAAAGAAGAAGGGCGAACTGTCTGGAAAAATCTACTAAGAAAGGAAACAATCTGGCATGAGGGTATAATTACTTCTACAAGGTAAAATCTCTTTACCTCTCAAAATATTTGTTGTCCCAACTCAATTAAAAACTAAATAGGGCTCTGGAGTTGTGGTGTGGCTCTCTCCTTCTCTAAACCCAAGCATGTTGTTAAAGGAAAAATTCAGAGTCTGTGTCTCATATCAGAAGAGCCACCTGGTATGGAAAAGAAGGAAACCAAAATCTAGGGACTATTGTTTTCACAAATCTCTTTCCCCTCATACTTATTTTGACTTTTTAGAACTTTTCTTCAGGTACAATACTATCTCAATATTTAAATTTTCCATTTTGATATTAATAATGTTTAAGTTTTCCAGTGAACAAAAAAATTCCCTAACATCGATCCCCAAAGTCTCCAAAAAGATGATGGGGCCCCACAACAATTTTACCTTGATCATAATAACGTCATTGAGTCAGTCGATAAATGCCAAGAGCCATCCCCGGTGGTGGATGGGTCCTGCAAAGGATGTAAGGAGTCGGTGGGGGAATGAAGTGTCCAGTCTATAGTGGTCAGGAGAATCTTGTAGCTTGACTGACTAGCAGCCAGAGTGTTTCTTTATTTATACAGAATTTAGTAAGCAGGGATACATTCATGATGTTCCAAAATATAGATCATATCATTTTTGGTTTTGGACATGTGTTTCACTTCCTTTTGCTCATTTTTTTAGTCACCAATAGTAAAATACGACAGAACAGAGTTATCATTTCCAATCATTTCCCCTCAAGTTTTGACATCATTAATAAACAGAGTTATCATTCCTACTCATTAACCCCATAACCCAATTTTTGAGAATCTAGAGGCATATGAGAGCCTGTTCTCAGGCTGGTAGCTTTGGTTGCTTCAAGGACACTAGACCAAAACAAAATCTTCAACCACCCTGGTCCCAAGCAGTGTCTTATTAACTCTTAGTGGTCAGAGTACCCAGGAAAAATCCTCAGGCCAAAGCTGCTGCAGTTATTATTCAAATTCTGCCATAATACAATCAAAGTTCACATTTACATCTTTATAGAATTTGTCTATATGTCTAATTCTGGCATTCTATTGTTCCTTGGTCATATGACATTATAGTTGCTCTACATGAGCCAACTTTTCTAAGAGATGGAGGTCCTGACACCTCATACTTTGATCATCTTTCCACTCCATACTTTGCTTATCAATATGTCTCTATGTAGGACAGAGTTGTATGCCACGTAGTTGTCTGAGTATACAGTGGAAAGAGGCTTGTAATCTGAACTGTGGACAACTCCTCTAGCCCACCAAATCTTGTTGACTTTTTTGAGTCTACTTTGTTTTCATTAACTTGTTCCTGAGTAAGTACAGGGATAGATGTTTCAAGAATGTTTCATATCCTCATAAAAAAGACCTCTGGCTTCTTTATGTGTCACAACCTCCAAGGCATAAGGAAGACCTTCAAGTAGATAAAGATATCTCCCTCAAAGTGGACAGGGAGCAGGATAGTATGTTCAGGACTTTCCTGGGGGAAGCTTAGAAGCAGCATTCCTGGGAGAAGGCATGAATGATTCATAAGAAATTTTCCATCAATCCAACATCCTCAAATTGTACAAATATTAAAAGTGCCCCAAGCATGCAACAGATGGGGATGAAAACCAAAAGTGGCATGGCAGCCATCATGTGACTCAGCTTTGATGGATCTTTGTCAAGCAGCTATGCTTGCTTTATGATTTCTGACATTACATCTAGATATGGCTGTGCCAGATAAACACCACCCAAAGATCAGCTTTGGACTACATACTGCTCAAGACAATTCTAAAGCAGCTAGAGACACGGTCCACCCTCTTGCACCACTCCAGCTAGAACTTCAGATAAGCTTTACCCATTACTCAGAGACTGCCTACAAATGTTGCAGCTAGTTCTCCTAAGACTTAACCCTTGTTTCAGTTCTTACAGGGTCCCATAGAAACAGCCATGCCCCCCAGATATCAGGAAGTAATTCTAAGAACAAGATGCCACTTTCCCTATATGTGTGTGGGGGTGTGGTGGTGAGTGGGGGGTTGGGTTTTCCTCAGGGTGATGGATAATTGTCATCTGTAGGGGGTTGGTAATAAGTTGTTATAGGGTTAGAGGCAGAACAATAGAGATTAAACTCAGGGATCTCATTTGGTTTAAAAAAAAGAGGATATGCATGACTGGATTAAAATATAGACTATTAGTTTTAAATAATTATCATTGGTATGGAATTTTTATATTATATAAATTATTTTTTGTTACATTATACAAATGTTCCTCTGTTTAAGATATTTTGAATATTGATGAAAATGTAAAATTATGTCTGTCATACTGTATATATGTTACTATTTCTGTTTAAGGTATTTTTGTATACTGATACAAATGTAAAGTTGTATTTGTCATACTCTATATATGTTTCTACTTCTGTTTAGGATATTTTTGTATATTGATGCAAATGAGGGTTATTTTTGCCATACTGCATTTTACATTTCTACCTCTGGTTAAGATATTTTTGCATAATGTCACAATTACAAGGTTATTGTTCTAATACTGTACATCTGTTTCTATTTTTACACAAGGTATTACCTCTACAGCTTGTTTCTTTTTATAATGTGAAGCTTCAGTCCTTAAGCTACATAGGTGAATAAGAACTACAGGTTAATTGTCACCCATGTCTGTCAAACTTATAGTCATGTTAGGTTTTCCAGATCATACAGAGATATATTTCAAATAGATAGGCCATCTTCAAACACTTCAAAGACCTACAGAATATGGCATTTAAAATGTTTTAGTAACCTAGAATTATTTTGATGTGAGAAATATCTTCTCCCGGCAGCAGAGATCTACTCCTGAGAAGATAATGGGCACCGAAGATACTCCATATGGAGTTTGTTTTCTTTTTGGCAAAACTGGCCTACTGGGCAAGAAACTCCCCTTGCCTCAACTGCTGACAGTAAGTATGCTGTCCAATCTGAACAAGCAGGACACAAAGAAAAGTGACTGTTGAACTTTGCCAAAGCAGGGTAGGACAGCCCTTCAAAATTTCCTGCTTCTGAAAAAGGTCTGTGAGATATTCTAGACTTATAAGCCAAAGTTGGATGCCCCAATATTACAGAGAAAACTTGGGTAACTGCCCAGGCAGTGAGCTGTTCCTGCCATTCCTTGCAGTTTTGGAAATCGATTGCTTATACTTCCTGCTTACTCAGGTAATACTATTCTCTTTCTCAGGTCTTTGATGGGGTTGAAGACTGGATATTTACAGTCACAATCCTCCCTAATCTTAGCTAAGAGCATATCAGGTACAAAACTTAGATTCTTCGAGAAAGAACAACAGCTAGAGTAATCTCTATGTAGACTGCCAATTACCTATGGTCTGGACCTCTAGAATGTATTCCTTACTTTGTAATTGTTCTTGTTATATGTAGTTTCAATTTTTGTTAAGATTATTACCTTTACTTCCTTCTGGACAATACATGTTAATAGTTTTTATTGTATATAGCTTTTACTAGGTTAGGATTAGAACTTTCCTTTTAATTTTAGAGAACCCTCTCCTTAGCCCCACTCTGCTTTTATATAATTATTAAAGTTCTGGGATGCTTATATATATGTGCTAGGGATTAACCTAAAATCTTGTGCCTGCTAAGCAGGCACTCTATCACTCTGCTACATCCCTTCATTCCTATTTTACTATTGGTATCTTTTAATGTAAAAAGTTGACTTGAAAATATATCCTATTTACAGAACAGTATGAAGTATCACATATAAAGACATGTCTGCCCTTTGCATTTGTTTACGTGGTTACTTTTGATCAGCATAACTTCTGACTTTCAGGAAGGCCTGTTCTCATTACATACTTTTATTTTCCACATTCCAAAAACAAACAAACAAAAATCCTTGTCTAATATAAACTTGTAAGCACACATTTCTGTTTCTTTTGAGATCTTTCAAAACTTACCATTTTGCATTTATCCTACGAACCATCCCAAATTAGTTTCTCTGTGTTGTATGAGATGGGGCAGAGTAATTCTCTCTCTCTCTCTCTCTCTCTCTCTCTCTTTCTTTCTTTCTTTCTTTCTTTCTGTTTTCAGTTGTCTTACTACCATTTCTTCAACTTTCTTTACTCATGGAAATTCTATGGTCCTCTGTTGAAAACGTATTGACCATATTAATCTACTCTATTTTCTACTGCTATAATGAAATGTTGAAGCTGGGCAACTTTATTTTAATAGGTTTATGTAACTTTATTTTAAATGAGGTTTATTAGCTTAAATAATTATGAGTGCTCAAAGGCCTGGTATCTGCATCAGCTCAGCTGTGCTAAGGGACCCACTGTAGATGGTAGATGACACTACAATATCAGGAGTGGATTTAGGAGGACAATTGCATTTTGAGAGAGGAAGCCAGAGAACAATTTAGGAACTGGACTCACTCTCCGAACAACTCACACTTGCAAAAACTCAAGGTTCCTCAAAATCTACCTTAATTTGTTTGAAGGCAACATCTGAAATGACCTAAGCTCTTCCCACAAGACCACTGTGGGGGCCCATAAAAGGTTTTCTAGTGAGATATAAGCTTGAGTTACCCAGCAAAGCTGCTTTAGAAGATTGCTTGACCATGTACACGGTTTCTAGGTGACTGGAAGGGTCTACACTTGGCTCTACCCCTTGGCATTCCTATAAATAGCCCTTTAGAAAAGACAGACAGGGCCAGTGGATAAAGATCCAGGCCATCCAAAGGCTATCCTGTGTTTGTAAGTGTTTAATCTCCTCTCTATCCTTCTATGTAAATCTCTTATCCCTCACTCCTCTAGAGTACCCCGGGGTAAAATGTGGGAGGCGGTCTCTCAGCTGGTCTCCCATAGATGGCACCAGGAACATGGACCAGGGACTTTGCATGAGGAGTGTCAGGGGGTGTCATGGGTATAAGGAAGCATGCCTGATAAGGAATTAAAAATAAAGAGGATGCTATTTTATTCTCGGGTATGAAAGTGAGGCACTGGAATGCCGAAGTTGAAAGTGAGTGAGGCTACAGTGTACATTTCTCTCTATCTAGGTTTCTTTCTTTTTTTTCCTCTTAATTTCTATCTATAAAAATTAAGAAAAAATGTAAGGTAGAATATAGGAATATAGTATAAGAAGAAATTTAGAATAAGAGTTGAATTAGGAATATTGGGTAAAAGAAACTTCGGGTAAGATAAAATAACGTGAGCAAAAAGACAGAGGAACTATGTCCTTGATTTCCAACTATGGGCTATGAACACAAACTCCTGGGGAAGAATCAGAGAAAATGTATCAAAGATGAGAAAAACAGGCAGAAAAAGATACTCATGGAAGCTTTTGGCCTGTGGATAGCTTAGCTTTAAGCCCTGAGTGGCAGGGGAAAAAAAATTTCCCTGAGGTAGACAAAGGAGGAATTGAAAGACTTAAAAAACTTAGTAATCTTTCTCTAAAAAAACTGAAAGCTTTTCATGTTTTCATTTTCAGATCTTTGCTGTTCCTGTAAGGGCAAAATTAGATTCACCTGGAAATAACATCTATTTGTATGGTAAAATCACCAGTAATTGCTCTAAGAAGAAACAAAAAACCTCTTGGAAACATAGCAAATCCTCTTTGCTAGTTCTGTCTCTCTTTCAAGCCAGTAAAAACAGCAGTCAGAATCCCCTGCGGCCAGAGTCTACACCCAAGAAAGTGCAGGCAGAAAGCTGGGCAGAACTGCCTCTGAGTTGGTGCAGGACCCAGGGAAGGGCTGCTAGTGTAGAAGCAGTTACAAGAGAAACTAGGCCTTGGCTAAGGCATCAGGGACTTCTACATCTTGGGGGAGAGGAGAAGCAGGGACAATCAGAAGATCTATGGGTGGGGGCGGGGACAAAATCTTACTGAAAAAGTTTTATTTCAAGAACTTTCACCTTCTTTCACTGACCCAGTAAAGCAGGGGAGGAAAGCTTCAGGAAGTTTTCACTTCCGGCAACAAGCACCTGTCTGAGGGCACGTGGTCAGGCATGATCTGTTCCAGGGACGGTGCCAGATGAAAAGCTTAATCTTGACTTAAAAACCTCCTGTGATAAAATAGCAGAAACTTGATTTTGCCTGATTGAACGAAACCTGAGGAGTAACGGCCACCACTGGCTGCAGGTGAGTTTTCTCCCAGACCCAGAAAGGCAACCTGGGAAATGCAGTTCAAAAAGTAGCTTGGGAAATGCAGTGACAATATAGAGATGGGAAGTTTGGGAAGTGAAGTCCGTAACAGAGATGCCAGTACTACACTGCTTCAAAATTCAGTTTTTGTTTTGTTTTTTTCCAGCTCAGATTTTTTCCACAAGCTTTATTAGCTTGTCTCCAGGGAATGAGAAACAGGCAAACAGCTTGTCTGTCAGGAGGCAATAAAAATGCTAATATCATTTGTCAACGAGTCATTTTGAAGTCCTTTAGAAAACAAGGGAAAGTGGTCCTTACTTTAGGAAATTGCTTCAGCTTTGGAAAAAAACTTACGGGATTGAGTTGTGCTAAAAATGCAAGAGGGAAATATTGGCATCATTAAAAACACTCATAGTAATCTTAAGAAGTAGCGTTAAAAATTAAAAAGAGGGAATTTTACCCTCAGTTAAGCTTAGAGCCACTGATAAATTAGGCTCTGACTTCAAACTCTCAAGAAAACTTTCAGAATGCTATCAAAGCTCACTATAAACTCCGAACTTTAGAAATGATTTGTGTACTTCCTGTCTTAATAGTTCATTTAAGAAATCTCTTCTAAAAAAGTCACATAGAGTTTGCTTTTGAATGTAAGTTAGTTCTGTTAAGAGACTCTTCTAGATGCATGCTAAAGTTTATAAAGTAGTTCTATAACGTTTTTCTTGAATAAAAGAAAGTTAAGAAAGTAAAAAGTGTAACTAATGTAAAAAGTGTAAATATTGAATGTAAAAAGTATAAATGTTGAATGTAGTTTGTAAAAAGTATATAGTGATGTTCATATTAGAATTTTTTTTTTTTTTTTTTTTTTTTGGTTTTTGGTTTTTCGAGACAGGGTTTCTCTGTGTAGCTTTGTGCCTTTCTGGGATCTCACTCTGTAGCCCAGGCTGGCCTCGAACTCACAGAGATCCGCCTGCCTCTGCCTCCCGAGTGCTGGGAATTGTTTTTATTACTCTATCAATATCTGTCTAGTCTGGACAAATTAGATAACATTAATTTTTAAATGATAAACCAAACCAATCACATCAGAAGCATCTTGAAGTTTTTATTATTCTTTTACCTTCAGATACATTTGAATACTTTTTATGATAGCTTAGAATATAATTTTATGATTTCAGTGGCCCCTGGAAAACTTAAGTGAAAGTGTCATAATTTTAGGAGAGCTTTTCTGTCTTCTTCCCAGTAGTTTCCATTCTTTCTGTTTCTGTTTGGAAAGGGGTAGACCTCCCACAAAGGGAAAGCCTCCCACAATCAAGTGAGTTTGTAAAAGTGTCTTTATAATTAGCATGGGGTTTGTATTTACTTGAGCAGATACTTTCAAATGATTTGAAATGACTGTTTTCTCCTGGGAATCAAAACTGTCTCTTGAAAGTTTTATTGAACATCTGTTAGGAGAGAGTTTTGATCCAGCAAAGGGGCTTGGTGCAGCTAAGACTGCTGTGATCACCTTAGATTCATTCCAATAAGGATATTTCATCTTTATTATCCTCTATTCCTTTACTATGAGGTGGGGCAGCTATGGAGATCGCTGTGGATGTTTGCAAGCTCAGTAGGGACCTGGGCCAGAGCTGAGTTAAGCTCTGTACCCCCTCTTTCCAGAGGCTGATAGTCAAAGAAGGACAACTTTCTTCTTGATAACTTCTTGAATGTATGCATGTACAATTAATCATGAAGAATGACCTAAGACAGGCACAGTCTATCTGAGGGGGCTGGGTGCCCTTTTTTTATGTCAAGAAAGGGGAATTGAGGATGCCCACAAAGGTTTCCAAGTGAGATCTAAGCTTGCTTTACCCAGCAGAGCTGCATTAGAGGATTGCTTGACCATGTGCATGATTTCTAGGTAATTGGAAGGGTCTACTCTTGGCTGAACTGGGGTAGGTCTTTTGCTCCACCCCTTGGCATTCCTTACAAACAGTCCTTTGGAAGAGACAGAAGGGGCCAGGGGATAAGGATCCAGGCCCTCCCAAGGCTATCCTGTGTTTCTGTTTATCTCCCCTCTATCCTTCTATCTAAATCTCTTATCTTTCTCTCCTCAGGAGGACCCTGGGGTAAAATGTGGGAGCTGTTCTCCTAGCTGGACTCCCACAGACCACATTATCTCCCAAAACTCTAGTTTGGCGGAGGGGAGGGCGGTCATGCTATACAGGAAATTCTGGAGGAAGCACTACATTCAAGTGACACTACACAAGCATATGTATGGATCTATTTTTGGACTATTCCTTGACCAACAATATTTTCAGTGTTCATTTGCTTTTTTTTTTCTTATATCAACAACATACTCTTTTTATTACTACAGATTAAAAGTAAGTCTGGTTTTGTTCAAAGCTTGTTTAGTCTTTGCTTTTCTATGCAGTTGAAGATCTAGTTATATTTAAAATTAAGTTTATTGGCTATATTAAATTGAATCTAAAAGTCAATTTGGAAAAATAATATTGAGTTTTCCAATCTAGTCATGAGAAATACATCTGCATCACTTAGAATTTGTCTAATTTTTCTCATATTGTTTATTGTTTGCATTTTATAAATTGTGTACATTTAAAAAATATTTCTATATATTTGGAACTTTACTTCTTGCACTATTGGAAATGATATTTGTAATTTGATTTTGTGGCCATTTGCCACTGCTATAGAAGGATCGATTTATGTTTGTATGCAGACCTTGTTATTAGACATTGCTTCATTCATTCATGTGTTCAGTCAATGCTCTGCATGTCTGCTTTGCTAAATAATCATGTCATCTGTGTATAAAGAGATTTTGGTTCTGCTTTTTCACTCTTTACACTTCTGTTTCATTTTGTGCCATTATTACATGAGTGTGAGGATTTTTACAGTTATAGTTATAAACAGGAAAGAATGGGGCTAAAAGTGAAATATCTAAATCCATATCACGTGTACAACCAGCCTACCATTTCCACAAAGCTGCTCATTTACTCCTCTCAATAATTCTATGAAATGAGACTCAGGATTCACTGCTTACCACTGTAGTGAGGGGCTCAGAGACATTGAGGAACCTGATGAAGGTCTCACAGCTAGGACGTGCTATAGCCAGGAATTCTAAAGCTGAAAAAGGTTAAGTCAAGAGGAAAAGGCAAAACTATTTACAAGTCGATTTGACAATTCTTGAAAACAGCAGTTGCCTAGTATCTCAAGTGCCATGGCCAAAAACAACTTGGGAAGAAACAGGTTTATTTTAGCTTACAGTTCCATATCAAAATCCAACATGAAGGGGTGTCAGGGCAGGAACTCAAGGCAAGAACCTGGAGGAAGGAACTGAAACAGCCAATAAATGAATGCTGCTTTTCTGCTTTCTCCTTGTGGCTTGTTCAGCCTGCTTTCTTATATACCTTGGACGATATGGCACCACCCACAATGAGCTGGCCTACCCACATCAGCCATTAATTAAGAAATTCTCCCACAGACTTGTCCACAGGCCAATAATGTGTGGGCATTTTCTCAACTGGGGTTCCCCCTTCCCAAATAATTCTAGTTTGTTTCATGTTGAGATGAAACAAACCAGAACACCTGAATCTATGTTTCTGAAATTGTGAGTGCATATGAGGAAGGGAGAAGGCAGCATGCAGCAGGCAGGTAATTGTTTACTTTACTATTACAGAACTCTTGAAAAGAAGAGAGGCTAGGTCAAAGCTACTTATAAATATGACTATTCATCTGACAAACACACTGTATTTACAACAGGAAAATTCCTAACTGAAGTATGCTTCTCCAGAGTATACTCTGATCTGTCTAGAACCACTTATGTAAACAAAGTAGAATCCATGAGCTTATGGGAGCGAGGCCCTTTGTATTCATAACACATAAGCATAAACATAAAAACTGCCCAAACATTTCTCTTTGGCAAGACATGCTCCCATGGGTACTGCTTGGAGAGTTCATTTGTTAAATCTGAGTAAAGTACATTTAGAAAGACTGGAAAGTTGGAGCAGTGACTAGAGTTCTCGTCTCAAGACTTATATCCTTCAACTTATAAGTAAACATCAATATTTGCTGAGATCTCTCACTCTTGTGAGACTTTGGAAATCCAATATATTTTGGGCTATTCTTATAAATCCAGCTATGTGTGCACCCTCTTTCAGAAGCACATCCCTAAATAGAATATGAAATGTGGAAGTAAGCGTGGGTATCTTGAGAAGTGATTCCATTGAGCAGGACTAGGGAATCACGAGAGTAAGAGCCAAGGAGGAGCTCAATGTAAGACCCAGTATAAGAGCTCATTGTAAGAGCCAATGTAAGAACCAAGGGGGAAAGCTCAATGCTAACACTGTTCTATCAAGGCCTCTGGATACAGGTAAGGAAGCATTTTCAATGCCAACATTATTCCACCACAGCCTCTGAAGACACATAATGCCTATAAATGCATTACTTTAAGAGACAGAAGGAATACACAGCCACATAGTTCCAGCTCCCAAAGTTGAAGGGGCACGCATCCAACTGTATCCAGCCTGAACAAGCTTGCAACCAAACTGCTTAGCAGCTGCTTAGCAGAGTCCCTTACCATGTCCAGACTGTATGATATGGTAGGGACATTGGAGGTACTGCAGTGATTACAACAGCAGCATGCTTATTGCATATTAAACATATTCATGCTATTATTTTTATAGTTTTGCATCTCTACTTCTCTGAGAAATCCCCTTTTCTCTGTATTGCCAACTGAAATTATAATCATCCATTAGAATTTATTTTGAAATGCCATGTCCTTTTAGATGGCATCCTAGATTTCCAGATTCAAATCCATCCCGTTTCTCTTTGACTTACTGCAGTGTATTTTTTTTTTTTTTACTTCTATTACTATGGTTTTCATTTTGGCTCTGATCTACATCAGTGACTACCCTCCATTTTATAGGCAATAAAAGGATGGAAATCTTGTATTTCTGTAAGTGAGTAACATGCAGTTCCATGTGTTTGAGTTTTTCCAATTGACACTCATGTTTTAATTGCATTTAAAGGGGTTATAGAATTTGGCATTATTATAGAGTTAGAGAAATCACTAACTTTAACTTCTCCAGAGATGTTTGTTCTGAAAGGCTCAGCAATCTGCCAAGTTCCCAGTGTTCAAGTATAAGAGGGTAGGCTTCTTTAATTTTGGGGGAAAGACTTCATTATCGACACTGGTTTAAGTTGGTTACAGTTTTCAAGAAGTACAAGTTTTTAGTTATGAGTTTACACTATCTACTACCAACTAACTGTAGCAGAAATATGTCATACAGGGGGATGGGAAGATGGCTTAGCCACTAATGTGCTTGCTGGGAGAATATAAGGGCATGAGTTTGAATCCGCAATGGGTGTGGTTGTGTGTCTATAATTCTAGCACATGGGGGAGGGCAGAGATCAATCAGCAGATCTCTGGAGCTTGCTGGCCAGCCAGTATGGACAACTGGTAAGCACTGGATTTGGAGGAATCCTATCCCAAAAGATAAGGTAAAAATGTTTGAGGAAGACACTTACCATCAATCTCTACACACATACACTCATTTGCATACACAACACACACAGAAATATGGTTAATGATTTTGAAGCAAGATTTTATGGGTTCAAATCCTGGCTTAATCATGTATTATTTGGACAATAGTGGAAAATCATTTAATCTCCATGCTTTAATTTCTTTACTTGTAAAATATAGACAGTAGTCAGAATCAATAGGACTGTTGTTGGGACTGCAGTAGAGAATATGTGAAAAACAACTGGAGTGGCCTGACCCAAACAAAACTTTTGAAGGTCTAACCTTCACTGAGTTGCTCATCTGGGGATTATT